TATGGCAACAGCACATCAACAGTAGGCAGTAGCCGAGGGGGTAGTTTCATCTTGAAGAAAGACCCTCTCTGCTGAGGCTCCCTCCACAACAAGAAACAAATGCCCCAGCCGCACGTAAACAAAACACCAGCAAAACGGCTCCTTTTAGAGCTCAGCCTGCAGAGTGTGAGGCAAAGCGAAAACCTATCCATTAGAAGGAGATTAATGAAAAAAACTCAGTGGGTCCTCCCATGACAGCCTTGGTTAAATAAGTCGCTATGAGCATCCCTGTCTGCGAAATGTGCTTCTATGTGTCCAGAAACCACTATCATCCTGATCTCAATTATTATTCATGCAGCTTCACTCGTTTCATCCGCCATACTCGGGAACGCGTACGCTGTAGGTGATGTCAACAAGAAACTGAAGAACACCAGCAGAAAGGAAGGCTATCTGATTCATTAATCCTGACTGTTGAGTATCAGGTATTAAACGCTAATCCTTCGCCTTTTTGAGTTGTAGTTCTCCTGACGACCATTAGAGGGCAGTTTGGCCTTCTAAACTATCCTATTCATGCACTTGACAGTGTAATGCGCATTTCTCAAATTCGTCTGTTTACTCACATACTTGCTCCAAGTATTTACCTCACTTTCCATCTTGTACGTTTGATATTCTTTTTAACTTTTTTATGGCTCTTGCTTTTGAAAGCGTTTGTTTGCTGACTCACATCCATTTATTTTTATCTGTGAAAGCTATCATTTCAGAGGTGCGCGAATTATGTTGTGGCATATCTATAAAGACAGCGCACCAAATGAAAGCCGGATTGATTTATTGTCTTTCATCTCAGCGTTATCATCTTTACGGCTTTGTCTTTATTGTGCTGTCGGGTACTGGGAGGTCTTGGGTGTAATGGTTTAACTCCTTGTAGAGGAGAGAATTAGGTTTCTGAGACTTGAGAAAATTCGGGGTCTTGTGTTTTTTGATCATTAATATTGATGGACAGCTTTTGTGAAGTGAGACATTCACATGACTAGATCTCACATTCGCTATTCTGTTCTATTAAGTTCCTGTCAGTCTGGCGAAACCGTAACCTTTTCCTCTTTCTCTGTTTACATAGGCAAAGAGACCCAGAATGGGAGAGAAAAAAATGGAGTCATATCTTTGTCAGATCAATTTGCTTTATTAATGAAAAAGCTTTATGGAGAGATCACAGTCCCTAGATTCATTCTTAAACAATGACTCACCAAGCAAATGTATTTTTTTTCTTTTTTCTTCACTCATTTTATTACAAACTTTGCAAGGACTTATTACAAGGGTTTGTTTTCAACATGCGGAAACAGAACAAAACAAAACACATGGGAATCAAACAAACAAGTCGGATCGGACAATCCACTGTTCACAATAAACATAAAATCTGATAAAGCCCTCGGTGACAGGAGCCAGTGAATGACTACGGTGCAGGCATACGACGGCCACATTCACACTGACTCGGCAAAAAAGATCAATCCATCCAAGGCAAGATGTGCACATCTCAATAAACACTTTACTATTTTTATATGCCATCGGCTTTTGTTGTAAGATTTAAAAAGCTTCACTTGCATGTACATAAAACTGTACAAAAACAGATCATCACAAGCATTTTTAGTCCTATATAAATATAACCAACAATTAAGGATAACAAGTTTTGAACTCTCCTGCAAAAGACATACTTTCAAGGCAGCTGTCTTCAGTTTGGGGTGAATGGTGAAGATGAGTTTTGTGCAGTGAACGTCGCTTTTGTTCTCAAAAAAAGGTTTCTGAACCGGCACTAACATTTCAGCAATAACAGTAAACGGTTTCTACCAATTATCTTTGGAATTCATGCTCAACTCGTCGCTTGCTTGACACCACGCACGAGGGATGTGGAGAGCTATGTACAGAACACTTTTTAAGAGATGTTTACCACAAACACCAGTTTTCGTTAATCTATGAAGAAAAGTCTCGCTCTAAGGACGAAGAAAAGACTCCCTCGTTCGTTACGGTCGTCTCATCACATCCAGACATCTAACAGCGAAAGAGCACACATCTAAACACCAGTTTAAAAAACAACCACGAGAAGTGGACATTCCTCCATCTGTCCTCTGGCATTTTGGGCCGAAGGACTCTAGGAGTCTAGCCTTAGAATTACTAGGAATAAAACAGCCGATATAAAGCCAGAGGAGTCGAAACCTGCAATTCAGACTGTCTGATGCAGGCTGGCATCAGAGTAGAGGAAGGTCAAAACCTGCTTCACTCAAGAGTTTGAATAGATGAAAGTGGTGGTAGAGTTTTGTGGTCATCTCTATCTTTTAGCCATGTTAAGTCCAGGTCAGCGATCTCACACGTTTGCCTGGGAAGCCTGCCTGCAGCGCGGAGGAGGAGAAGCGAGCTGGGCTAATTACACTGGCTCTTGCTGGATTCTTTTTTTTCCTATCAGAGTCACTAAATGGCTTTGAAAACAGCATAATGTGCTTTCTTTCCTTAGGGCGGGATAATCATTCGCCTTATTTAATCATGGCTACGTCCAGTAATTTCCATATGTTTCAGCCTTAATTATTCGGCGAGAGGTGCGATGAGGTAAGTGCAGTGAAAAATGTGACTCGCTAAACAACTGAAGCGTTTGGACTGGGATCTTTTTCTGTGATCTGTGCTTCCTTTGGGGGCTGGAGTGTTCGCATATGCCAACTGCACCACACTCATTACTCACCCTAATTAAGGAAATGCCCATCGTCAATCCCCCTGCAGATACAAAGCACGCTCGCCCAAGTGCCGGGATCTGGGCAGCTACTGTGCGGCAGCAGGAGTGGAAAAAGTAGAGATATTGAGGCGATGCACCGTGATGCAATAGTAATGATAATGTCCATCAGATATATGGTCCTTGAGCACACTAGATAGTCATTGTCAAAATGGTCCCCCAGAGATTCTCTGAAACTTGGAGGGAGACACAGCTTTAGAGCAGGTTAGATAGTCAGCACAGTGGCTACGTTTACATGCACCCAAATTATCCGTTTGGAATCGGATTGACGGCTCAATCGGACTGAAAAACCTTCATGTAAACACCTTAATCGATCCGATTGAGCTCGATCGGAATGAAATTTCGATCGGATTGAAGGGGGTGGTTTATTCATTTTCTAATACGATTGAGAGTGCATGTAAACACTCGATTGGATTGAACCCCGAAACTGAAAGGACTGCACATGTGCAATGACGCAGAAATAGCGTAATGACGTATGACGAGCAGAACGAGCGGTTCTTCCTTTTGAATAAAGTGTTGTATAAATGTGTGTCCTGTCATTATAAAACTCTCCTTTCACTCGGCAACTGTGATGTGGAGCAGGGCAATGTCACTGCCAGTCCTTGTTTTGGATTCTCATCCACAGGCAACCCGTTTTGGGCGCGGGGAGGGGCATTTTTACTGCGTGATAAATATGAGCAGCACGGCACAGTGGTTTATATGTATATCTATCCATAAATTAATAAATATTAATTCTGCTGTTAAAAACTAATTCCGAAGCTATAATAATAATTTGAAGCTTGTGACATATAAACGCACACATCAACCCGATCACTTTATTTAGCGTTCATGTAAACACTACATTCAGATTCATAAATCGGAATGAATTCAGTCCATTGAACCAAAATTGTGCATGTAAACGTAGCCAGTGTCAAAGAAAAGACTAACCCGAAGAAATTCCCAACTGATGGAGGACAGAACAATTATGGAAAAAAAAGAAAGGTGGCTGAAAAAAGGGAAATGGCGAATGGTGATGTGATCGTAGGTAACATTTGTCATTTTTTGATTGTGGAAAAAAAACATGCACAATTGACATGCGAAAGACAAGACAGGATTATCAGTCTAATTTGTCCATTGTGATTGTTATATACAACTGTTTTTAAGGCATTAATACATTTGTTCTTCAAACAAAGTCTAAATAGGACACAAATATTTCATTTAAAACTGTAAAAACTATGTAAACAAAGAAAACAGGACCGTGAATATGAGTGTGGCAAAAAAGGACTCATTTGATGGAGACGAGGTGTGTTTGTGGACTTAACACACACCGTCAATTTAACAAAACCATACTGATAATTTGAGGGGAGGCAGGTGGTCTCCTCCTCACTGAGGCTGTGCTGTGTGAGCCGTAGGCGTCTTTGCGAGTGCCAGGCAGCATTTGCACTACATCGTGGGAGTTCAGGAGAGATTCACAGTGCCAAAAAACACAAGTTCTGCCACATGACACAAAAGTATGCACGCACATTCTCATCTGTTGAATAGCGTGTTAATGTGCCAAAAGCCACATGTGTTACTTTTCGTGACAGTAGGTCCCCTGACGCATGAACGCACACACCGGCATATGTTAAGGTCTGCCATAGTGAGTTAATCGATGTTAATCCCACTGCCCGCCCTCTGAACGCACACCCACACACAGCTATACACTATGCTGCAGCGTGCATATGGACATACAGCACAACAGGTGAGGAACTGGGCCCTACACGGACACAACGAAGCTCATGGAGCACCATCAGGATGTTTTCCCCTCCACTCCAGCTATTCACGTTTATTCACATTCCTATATGGCCATTACAAATGTTCAGACCCTCAAAAGCAGTGGTACTGACACACTTCAGGTGTTGAGGCTGATTTAGATGTAACTTTTGACCTTTTTTTTTTTTCTATTTTTTCAACTTGAGCCTGTTAGTAATATTCATATATTCACCATACAAATGTATTTACAGCGTTTTACATGTATAAAGACTGCTCTCCTCTGAGGACAGGATCAAGTTAAGAGTGTTAGACACTCTGTATGTCAAGACCCTTTTACAGCAGTATCTCCAGTCAACTACAGCACTTGGTAATCTAGTAGAAGAACCCATGAACATTCTGTAGGCTAGTGAAGCTAAAAGTCGGTTAGTCACGTAAAAGTATGCATCGGTTTTTGTGATGGTATGCAAAAACAGTATAAAAAGTTTAAAGTAACAGTAAAACATGTTGAAAGTGATAATAAATAGATGAATGAATCAATGAATAAATAAATAAATAAAATAAATCTACTCTGACATTATGACAATAGCGTATTTTTCCACTATCCAATTTATATCCTGTCGCAAATTCGATGTTCTCTTTTCGCAACCGTGTCTCTCTAATTTCTGATGTGCATCAATCAAAGATGGTGCATGTGGTTATCTCACAGGTATATCTCTCTTTTCGAAGTGTGATTGGAGGGGGGGCTGGTAGGCGGGAACTCTGATGTCACTCTCAGAGGCACCTCCTCCAGTGGGGCGTGGTCACTGGGGGTGTGGTCACTACTGGAGTAGGCACTACGGGAAGGTGGGAAGCGTGGCCTGTTCTCCTCTCCTCCCAGCCTCACGCTCCCATTAGCCAGGCGTCCCAGGCTCCCCCTCTCCTGATAAGGCACAAACGTGGACAGTTTAGGGAGATTGCGGGTCTTGCGGACGGGCGAAGGCTGACCGGGCATCCAACAGGCATCTGAGTGACCCAGCTCGCTGCACTCCTGACTGCAGTTTCCCGTCATGGCAACATCAGGTAGTGAGCGAATATCTGTGAGAAGAAGGCACACAAAAAAAGCAGTCTTTAATGATGAGCAAATGATATTAAAGAACAGCAAATCAAAACTTGTTCATTTCTACCGGGTGAGTCACAGAGACACTGCAGTTCACCTAGCGTCAAATGCAAGCAACTAACAGGGAATACACAAAGAGCTGCCAGTGGTTGCTATGCACTGTGGTGTGGTTGCTATGTGAGAGGCAGTTGTTGCTATGCACAGTGCTGTTGTTATGCACTGCATACTGGGATTTCATCAGTGGCTACTGTGGGTCAGATTCTTCTGGTTTGATTCCTTCAAGTCATTTGAATTGAAATGGTTTCTTCATAGTGTAGATATCCCGATTGGCGGTTGCTAGGTCATTCGAATGTCTGCATGCCCACATATGTATTGGAAGTTTGGTGGCAAAAGTGCAATTCACTTTTTCCTGCATTTATGTCCCTTGGGCTGCAATCCCGCGATAAACACATCTTGAATATTTATACATGTATACACATACAGGCATGCTCGCATTCAGTATCCTACATTCAACATTAAATGAGACCCACCAAGGCCCCTGAAGGAAAATTCAGTGCTAAGGCTTATTGATTGGCAGGTCTGAAATTAGTGAGCCTCTTATTGCTATCCATTTTCCATTCCACTGTTCCCTAATTAATTAAATAGGGCCGAGACCCAGTGACCTCATTCTGACAGAGCCATACAGAGAGCTACAGTAACACACACTCCCTGTAATCCACCAACCACATGCACTCTTTCTCAGGAGCCGTTCCACTCTGTGGACCACGTTCCTCACCCTTGTGCATTCACATCAGAGGTTTTCAACCTCTCAGTCATGAACCCACGTGGGGTTGCTGGAAATGCAGATGGAGTCATGGTCTTTTTATTCATCATACATTTTTAGCAGAATTTGTACAGTTATAGGAAGACAGAGTCTTGGAAAAAAAATCTATAAAAACAGTAAAATAACAAAGTTACTTATTTGTCTGACATAGATAAGAATTTCAAGTAGCATTGGGAATCTAGGTCCAAAAGGAAGCATTTGTGTTATTTATAATGTAATACGATGCTGTTGCAATCAGTGCGCCAAGGGTGTACACATCAATAATAATGGACTCATGCATGGCTAATGTACGACTCCTGTAAGTCACTGTAATCGTCTTCACCTTGATAACAAATATCATCCATCAAAACTTTACTAGCATGACACTGGTTTGCTTTATCCAACCGAGAGTTAGTTTACATAGCATATGATCATGCAGCGGTTGGGTGTTTTGAATAAAAAAACGGTTTATGTTTTCACAGCATTAGCGCTGTTTTGAACTGACTGCTTAAATGCATTTGCGTATGCATTTATGGATCCTTGGACGTAAAGTTTTCCAGGAGTTTGCCGGTTTAAAATGATCTGATCGTAAACAGAGATGGTTTTTCTGTGTTCTTCAAGCCATCTTGGGTATTTTATAATAACGGAAATTTATAATCCATTGCTATTTGACATAGCCTTTATTACAGTATAGAATATATTTTCCGCCTCATTCTGTGATAAGAAGCCACATCAGATGAGATAATGAAGTTATTTCAAACTCTTGACTGATGTTGTGGAGTAAAATCATGTTATTGAATTTTCTCTTTTGTTGGACAACAGGTTTATAAATGCTTCTCATTAAGGCGCGAGTTGCTTTTTCAGATGCACTCAAACTCACAGCACTTGCAGAGATGAGCAGCATTTACTACTGGCGCTGCGTGATATACAGTACCAATAGATGGCAGTAATGCACTGTTTTAGTATGCGATCTCGTAAAAAGACACTGCACTGCTTCAGTCTATTGCAGGTTCACAAAATAGAGTGTTGTCGCGCTACACCGCTATTTCCTGGAAAAAGTAGTTGGCTACTGGAAAAGCTACTGAAAAATGTAGTTACGTTAGTAGCGTCGCTACTTGTAGCTAGCTGCTCCCCAACACTGTTAAGAACCTCTGATCTGCACACTCTGCTTGCCATGTTACCTTTCTCTCCACTTTCGATTCTTACCACAGTTCCAAACTACTTCATCTTCCAGAGACAGAGAAAATGAAGAGAAAAGTAGTGGAGACTCTTAAATGTGCAAGAGATCTACAGATGGCAGCCCTGAGGTGGACGCTGGGGCCCAGGGGATGTACCTCCACTGGCATTGAACATCCAGGCAGCTTTAATACACTCATTAAAAAGAGCTCTGTGAGGCTCCACCGGCACAATATAACTGACAGTTCTCTCCACACGAAAACACCACACTGACCCCACCACCGCACAAATGTATGTATGCTTCAAAAAACTCCCAATAAGCAGGAACCGACATGGTCAATACATCAAAGAGGTCTGGAATAGTGTAAAAGAGGGCGTTTACTGGAGGAGGAAAGAGGCTTTATATCTCACCAAACGGAATAGATCAACTCGCCCCTCTGTGGAACAAACACATTAGAGTTCTACAGTCCTGTTTGTGTGCATGTGTGTGAGAAGGCTAGATTGTGTGGGAGAAAAAAGTGTGTGGTGAACTCGGAATAAAATTGAGCGTGTGCAACCTGTGTGTGCGTGTGTGAGGGGAAGGATGTGCGTAGGAAAAGGAGCATGTGTGTTAGATGACGCTACTGTCTATGTGTTTGTGAAGTAGTAGTGTGTGCACATGTCTTTGTGCAAGAAAGATGTGTGCTACAGATGGTGTTTGAAAAGTGAGGTGTTGGGAGTGTAGAAATGTGTGTGCGTGTGTGTGTGATATTCTTGTGGTTCTATGTAGGCAGGTGTGAAAACAGTTTCTTACATCTATTATCCATTACTGGATCTCATTTCTTCCAGTATATATATATATATATATATATATATATATAGACTAATAGCCAATCAAATGCAGATCTCTTTAAAATGCTTTTGAAGTTGTTTTAGGTGAACAAATGAAAACTGGAAAAGAAAGCACGCATTTAGATGCGAGTACATAAGTGACAAAATGAAATAAAAATGATACTTTCCTTAAAAGGAGGCATATTATGCCCCTTTTTACAATATGTAATATAAGTCTCTGGTGTCCCCAGAATGTGTCTGTGAAGTTTCAGC